TTCCACAATTTTCGGTGGTCTAATTTATTACAATTATTTTTTATTTTTGTTAAAAGCTTTTGTTTTAAACGATTTTGGAAATGTTTGGTTCTTATTTTATAGGAACTATGCTTTATGTTGACTTCCTCTGAAGGCCAGTTGTAATATATGATCCGCTTGTCATATCTTGAAAAGTTCATATAAACATAAATACGAAATTGACAATCAAACCTTTTAAGTCAAAAATGGAAGCTCCATTTATTTGACTGAAATTTTCTGGATTTCTTAAGCTGTCTGAGGCTAACAGAAATATATATGTCATCATTTGATTTTATATAGTGAAATCGTTTGTTTCTTGGTGTAATATTCACGTGGCCAAGTTATGACAATGTTATGCTATATATTGAAAAGAGACCCTTCGGGTGGCCGAATTGGTTGAGCAATGGACTGTTCAAATGGGAGATTTAGGGTTCGAACCCACTTGTATACTTCATCGGTCGAGTCCGTCACACAGGACTTACCTAGTGCATGCGATTTACCCTCCTATATAGTTTGCGGGCTAGTTTACAGAAGTGGAGTTTACCATATGTGCACCCGAAGAATAGCGAATGCGGGTTCCCTTGTTAATGGACAAAAAAATTGAAAAGAGTACTGTAATACATGGTTTAATATATGACTTTAATTTGATTTTCTTATTTGGTATTAGGACACCAGATTATTTCTAATATTAGCTTATACAGGAACCAAAATGAAAATTACTGAAAATAATATTCGTGCATTCTTACAAGTTTGAGAACTTAAATTAGACAAATTTTTGGATGGACTTGAACCTCTTTAGTATTATAAGAATTAAGAAAATGTAGCGTATCAATATATGTGCATTCTACAGAAGTGGTAAATATTATGGGACACATCCAAGTGATCCAAAACAAAAGTTAAAGTGACAAGTAAGTTGGAAGTAATATTTAATTTATACGAAAATTGAAACTGTAGAAAATGAAATTTAATTCTTAGTAATATTCACTTCGAACGCTAAATAAAGAGAATGGTTTGAGAATTAAATTACACGTGGAAATATTAAAATGGAGCATATATAGTCGAATTTGAATAACATTGTCCATGAAATAAGTCCGTGACCGACGGAAAATAATGTACTTTATTCGTTCAAGCACCGCCAATGTGACTCATTTAGAACCAATATATATTATTAGAAATCATAATTCTTTTTCATTTATTCTTTAAGCCCGTGAACAATGAGCTACAAATGAAAAGATATTAGAGAAAAAAAGCTTAATGTAGAATTAGAATTCTATAACGAGGCAATTAATCTACTATTCAATTGGTACTTGGTAGTATATATTTTGGTACCATGTTAAGACTTTATTAATCTGTGGATTCTTTTCGATAATATTACTCGGTTTCCTTGTTTATAGTCCCTACGTGGAATCTTCAGGATTTCTTTCTATTTTTATATCTTTAATAGATGGACCACAAAATATGACTTTGTTTTAAGGATTCGAATACTTGAATAAAGCAAATTCAAGGTTGGGATCTATACGTATCACTTTTATGACGATAAATAATTAAATTATCAATTTGCTAAATTAAACACTTAATTTAAATGAATTATGCGATTAAGATACTATTCAAAGGGACGAAAAAAAGAATAACTTATTCATAACCTTTTAGGTCCATTCAATTGCTCTACAATAAATTAATTAATAAAAAATAAAAGTTAATCTTTTTTTATAAACGCCCGAACCAGCCTTTATTTTATTTTTTGGTTGTCCAATCATACAAAGTCTCTCAATATGGTTTTATATTCTATCCAAAAGCAAATAGTTTTGATAAATCGGATTGACTTATAGCCTGTTTGATCAAGCTTCTCCGAGTTGAGAAGTACTATTTTTAATTTTTTTTTAAAAAAAAATTGAAATGTTTGACCAAGTTTTTAGAAAAAAAAAATAATTTTGAGTAGAAGCAGAAGGAATTTTGGAGAAGCATAAAAAAGTAGCTTCTTCCCAGAAATATTTTTTTGAGAAACACTTTTAAGAAAAATACACTTAGAAGCACTTTTGAAAACTTTGGCCAAATATAAATTGTTGTTTAGAAGTGCTTTTTAAATTAATTAGTCAAACACAAACTATTTTTTACCAGAAATATTTTTGAAACAAGCACTTTTAAAAAAAATATTTCTCAAAATAAGATAATTTTTCTAGCTTGGCCAAACAAGTTATAATTCGTTGTGTCTCATTGTATGTCGATACCATCTATTTGAAGCACGGGTATGGGCCGTGCTTAATTACCTATGGTTGTGTGTTGCATGCTTTTCTGTAGAGATCCACTTCTTACCACTATAGCCTAAGAGCTAGAAGGTATAGGACTTCTTTTTCGGGATAGTCATTCGTGGGGGTGGGTGTTCGGGCAGTTCGGATTAGATATGAGAATTTTGATTTGGATTTTCGATATTCAGATTAAAGAAATGACAATCCAAATCCAATCCAAATAAGTTCGGATTGGATCGAATTTTTTAAGTTCGGTTTCAGATTAATCGGTTTGGATATTGTGGATTTTCGATTTTGAGCGTATAAGTTAAGATGTTTCTACTTTTTACCAAATTGAATATGCAAATGAAACACTCATGTTAAATGGCCTAAAAAGTTCCTCATTCTTGCCGCAATCATCCAAATAAAGGATTCAAGTTATAAAATTATTATATATAAAAAATACAATAGACACATTAATACGGCCGATAAGAAGTAGCATAGTAAAATCATGTCCAAATAGAAAGTATTCTGACCGTAATTTAGTAATTAATATTGAATATATGAGATAATATCTAATGGGTAGGGTATTGAATTTATTACTATTCGCATATGGATAATGGACTAAATATAGAGTATAAAAATTTTGGATTTTCGGATATCCAAAAATACGAAATAACAAATCCAATATCTAATCCGAAATCCAAAAAAAATTAAAATTAAATCCAAATTTCAATCCGTAATTCGATATCCAAACAAAAAATTCGAATTTCGGTTTGGATTTCGGATTTGTCCAAACTATGCCCACCCCTAGTCATTTGGTATTTTTTTTAACAAGAAATCGCTTGGGGGTACTTTATTTTCAAGTTGGGTTGTATATGCTTATGTTTTATGGGCTTTTTTCACTTTTAGCCAAAGTCAAAAAATATGTATGTTCAGTAGTCGAAAATTTATATAAAAATTGTATAATTTTTGTATATAATATACAGAATATATTGAAAGCGGCTATACAACGTCATTTTATCATGTTTTTCATCTTTGAACATTTGGAACCCTTTGTGTATTAATAAAGTAATTGATGTTTCCGGGGGCGAATTTAGGGGGCGGAAGGGCGTTCACCCGAACTCCCTTCGCCAAAAAATTACACTGTATATATAAGGTAAAATCTGTTTTTTACCTCTATATATTAAGTTTTGAATCCCCTTGACATAACTCAAAAGTATAGCTTCGTGGTCAAGGGGTTTCAAAACCTTTGTTAAGGTCATAGGTTCAATTCCTATTAACTACAATCTTTTTTAACTTTTTTTTAACCCCTTAGCGGTGATCCTGTCTCCGCCACGATATATTTCCTTTTAAAATAAAAATTAACCTTCTAACATTAAACCATGGTCAAAGTTATGCTTATCTCAACGATGTCAATTTCTGTTCATAAGTTCTCCGTCCTAATTGGCCCAATCCACAAGCCACATCACAAAATGGTGAAAAACATGCTCTATACCGACTAAGAAAAAAGCATGCAGAAAACATAGATTTTGAAATCAACGGCGCGTCAAGCCGAAATTACTTTTGATTCAAACTTAGTATGTCTCATATTAATCGTCTTGATTACTAAAAATAGTTATCTCAAATTATTTATTATTTTAGAAGTTCAAGATAAAATTGATAATTTTTTTCTTTTTTTTACCCTTAGTAATAATTATTCTTGAAGATGGAGATAACACATAAATAAAATAAATATTCAATGAAGAGAAATTATATCTTAAGACATAAATAAGGGTAGAATAGTTCAATTCCTTTCTTAAATAATATTTCTTAAGGGACGTGTAAAAGAGAAACACGACACATAATATTAGACAAAGAGTATATGCCAAACTTCCAAATGACTTTACATTATTCACGTGAAACGATTAATACATGGAAAGCAAAGGGGACCAAATTAAAGTGCATGAACTAAAGCCATCTAAGAGAAAAATACGTTAAATAAAATGAAATAGGTTAATTTAATATGCATGCAAGGTGCTGATACGGAGGAACCTAATTAATTTGAAAAATAATTTGTGTTTAACTAATTAATTTAAAAAATACTTTGAAATAATTAATGTTTGATCAAATTTTAAAAAAATATTTTTAAGTGTATTTTTCTTAATAGGACTTTTCAATAAAATATTTTTGGGGAAAATCACTTTTTATTGCTTCTTCTTATATTAAAAAATAAATTTTTTTTTTCTAAAAGTTTGGTCAAACACCCTTAACTTTGAAAAAAAACTGATTTCCGCCAAAAACAAAAAATAGGACAAACAGACTATGAGTGTCCTTTCGTGAGCAACGGGGTTAAACAAATTCAATTTAACATTCCAAACAAAACATTCCAAAAGTAAATCAAACACTTCATTGGTTACCTTTTACTTTGTCTGTTTTCGTATCCCCTTATTAGTCCGACTATGATTGAACTGCAACATGGCAAATATTAGAAAGTCAACACAAAAATATGAGATTTTCATATCTCTTACTATATTAATTGTTTCTCGTGGGTTTTAGCCACTCCCAACCCATTCAACCTTTGACCAGTAAAACCAAATTTAAAAATAAAATATCCCAATAATTTGAAAAATACAAATAAAATAATGGGTGCATCTAGAATTTTCGTAGTCTTCATTCTTCTTCCTTCTTCTTTTGCTTTTTTTCATTCAAACTTTCATGCATTATATATACTAGCCGCTTTTTCTTACCACCAAGAAAACCCTATAAAGAGAGAAAAGAAAAAGGAAAGAAAGAAGAACGCATCTTTACTTCTCTCACTCTCTCTCGTTATATATAATTAGATTCTTGGTTTTTATTTGTAAAGAAGAAAAAAATAGATATGGAAGAAATAGAAATACCCCAATATTTTTTATGTCCTATATCACTTCAAATTATGAAAGATCCGGTGACGACGGTGACCGGAATAACATACGACCGGGAAAGCATCGAGATGTGGTTGTTAACGGCGGAGGAAGAGACGGAGACGGCGGCGTGTCCGGTAACAAAGCAACCTTTGCCTAAAGACACCGAGTTGTTGACACCAAACCATATGCTCCGGCGGCTAATTCAAGCTTGGTGCACAGTCAACGCAGAGAAAGGCGTTGACCGAATTCCAACACCAAAGTATCCTATGAACAAGTCGAATATACTCCGATTAATTCGACAAGTTAATAATAATGATCATCAGCTTTGTGCTGAAGCTTTGAGGAAAATGGCTGATTTGGTTAGTGAGAATGAGAAGAATAGGAAATGCTTGGAGCAAGTTGGTGCAATTAAAGCTATAGTTTGTTTCATAGTAAAGAGCTTCAAATGTGAGAAATTAATTCCTGGTATTGAAGAAGCTTTGAGGATTTTCCATTTAATTTGGAATCCGACATCCGAAAACAAGCAGTATGTAAAGGATAACCATGATTTAGTTCAAGCTATTTTATGGATTTTAAAGAGCGAATTGAAAACCAGTCACGTTCTGATCAAGACTCATGCAATGATGGTCTTGAAGAATGTGACAGAAGTCTCGAGTTCGAACCTTTTATCGGGATTAGACCCCGAGTTTTTCCAACAAATGGTGAATACATTGCGAAAAAATGGAAAAAACTACATCTCCCAACAAGCAACAAAAGCAGCTTTGCAAGTGCTAATAGATGCATGTCCATGGGGAAGGAATAGGCTAAAAATCGTCGAATCGGGTGCCATTTTCGAGCTAATTGAGCTTGAATTATCTAACCCTGAGAAAAGGGTTAGTGAATTAGTGTTCTGTCTATTGGCTAATTTGTGTGTATTAGCTGATGGGAGAGCAGAATTGTTGAAACATGCAGCTGGAATTGCAGTGGTCACAAAAAGGACACTACGGATTTCTTCGGCTACAGATGATAGTGCACTTCAGATTCTTGGTTTAATTTCTAAGTTTTCTGCCACAAACGAAGTGTTATTGGAAATGTTAAGAGTAGGGGGGGTATCAAAACTTTGCATGGTAATTCAAGCAGATTGCGAACCTCATTTGAAGAAGAAAGCAAGAGAGATATTGAGAGCACATTCTCATGTTTGGAGCAATTCTCCTTGTATACAAGTTTATCTTTTGACAAGATTTCCTGGACAATAGCAAGAGTAGAGCCCTAAAACCTTGAATAGTTTTTTTTTTTTTTTTCATTTTATTTTCCTTATATAAATAGAGCTAGCCAACACACTGCCTTTTTGTTATACTGTAAAACAGCATCGAAATTATACATATATAGAAACCCCAATGATATTTGTGAAGTACTTATTGGTCTATTTTTCTCTTCTTTAAATGTAGCAAGCAACCCGTATTACATATTATAAGTACTACATATTGCTATTTATGTATGCTATAAGTTATTCACATCTCTATCTCTGATAACTCGAGATCCTATTTAAGAAGCTCTTTGTATATATGTTGATTCGACTAGTTTTTTTCTTGGCTACGAAATGTTATCTGTACTATATATAAGTGATCGGAAGCAAATGAAATTTCAATGTTTATGCAAAGAATGATAAGCTTTTGATTATCTACAGTTTATATGCTTAGAATTTTAGTAAATACGGTTTCATTATAGCTTAAATCTTTGTATTACTTCTAATAATTATTCGTAAAGATGAAAGTTATTAAGTATTATACTGGAGATATCTTCCTTTGTTTATTTATGAAGACAGATTTACTTATCTTTAATAATAAAGACTTAAACTAGCTCTTAGCAACTTATTGCCTACGTGACGATTTTGTGGCAAACGTTTTGAAGAATATGGATTATAGATTGTTACATGGAGAAGTAGAATCCAACTAAAGAACAATAACTCAATAAACAAATAACAATAGCATGTACTATATGCTATAAACAATTCTATTTCTCACTGTCGTCCTTTCCCGAACACTACATGAACACATGAAGCTCTGTGCATCAGGCTGTCCTTTACAGTCTTTGGAGTTGAACAACGTTGTTGAATTAATTTCGGTCCTTGTGTCGCACCAAATGATTAATAATAACAACAACCAAGTATAATCTCACTAGTGGGGTCTGGGGAGGGTAGTGTGTACGCAGACCTTACCCCTACCATGGGGTAGAGAGGTTGTTTCCGATAGACCCTCGGCTGCCTCCCTCCAAGAACACCTCACCTTACTCTTGGGGTGACTCGAACTCACAACAATGCTTAAATTATACAGTAATTATAACCCGGTCTCCGTTCATATTGGCCATTTTAAGAAAATATGTAGTTATGTGTGCCTTGTTTTGCTATTTTATTTTGTTAATTTCTGCTTATTGGAAAATTTGAAGACATTGACCAATAAAATGTTGATGTTAAAATGCTAAAAAATTGAAGAAAAAAAAAGAAGAAAAATTATCAAGAATTGTGGTCAAGCAACAACTTTATGGTTGTAACCCTCTCTATGCTCATTTCTCCCATGATGTTTATTCACATAACCTCTACACCTCTTGTTCATTCAAACAGCGAAAATATTTGAAGCCAATTAGTTCCATAGTTATGTGCTGAATGCAATTAATTTAATTGAAGGTATGCGGAGTCTCTTACAACTATGGAAGTTCTTAAATTATTAAATTAATTTATCTCGATGACCTGTTAGTTAGCTGGTCATAAATATCAATATATTCATGTTTCGGCGTTTGACCGGAACTACTTGTATAATTGTTTGTTTGTTTAGGTGCTTATTAATTTAATTTGCATCATTTGAGCCTCGTGTTCAGAGGAGAAGACCAGATGCTCCGGTACGGAGGTGTGAGCGGCTGGTTGTGGAGGGCACGAGAAGAGGTAGAGGGCGGCCTAAAAAGTATTAGGGAGAGATGATCAGGCAGGATATGGCGAGGCTCCAGATTTTCGAGGACATGACACTTGATNAGGGCACGAGAAGATGTAGAGGGCGGCCTAAAAAGTATTAGGGAGAGATGATCAGGCAGGATATGGCGAGGCTCCAGATTTTCGAGGACATGACACTTGATAGGAAGATGTGAAGGTCGAGTATTAGGGTTGTAGGTTAGGAGATAGTTGAGTTGTGCCTTACTTCGTACTATTGTGGGACTAGCAATATAGGGTTTTTGTCTAAGATAGCTAGTGGCAATGTTGTGTCTTACTATTTCGCTTTTCAGTGCATGTCCTATTTAATAGCTATCGCTTTTGCTTTGCATCTTTCTTCTAGATTTCATGATGTTCTTATTTTTCTTATGATTGTTGTGGTGATACTAATATTGTCTCCATTTGCTTTGCATCTTTCTTCTGGATTTCATGGTGTTCCTATTTTTCCTATGATTGCTGTTGTGATACTAATATTATCTCTTTTTTGTCCTTTTGTCTTTTTGTTTTTTGAGCTGAGGGTCTTTCGTAAACAACCTCTCTACTCCTTCGGGGTAGGGGTAAGGTCTGCGTACACACTATCCTCCCCAGTCCCCATTAATGAGATTTTACTGGGTCGTTGTTGTTGTTGTTGAGCCTCGTGTTGTTAATATATAGGAATTTTGAGTTTTGACTTCTCAATTGATTTATCATTGAGTCTTCCCCCGGAAAACTGATGAGCCTTGTGCATTGTAATCGTATTTTAGCTATTGAAATATCAAAGAAGGAAAATAGCATACGGACTTCTTAATTTCTTCAAATCCATATATTTTCATGACTAGTATACACGACCCAACCACAACCACAACACCACCGACCACCGATAACAAGAAAAAGATCTAAATAATCACCCACCCAACGGCTTAAATTAAAAGTAACCCGCAAATATATAATATATACATAATCAATAAAAAAATATGTGCGTAACCATATATAATCAGAATAATCTATGTAAATTCGCTCGGCTATATGCACAAAGGCACATCATTTCTAGTGGCATGAAGTACATAAATAACCTTCAAAGTAGATGATTTTGAATTTTTGTCCATGCTTGCTCCATGTGTAGAATTTCAAGTTTAACAAGTGTTGTCCTCGCTTGCCCCGTAGGCGACACTTTTAACTTTTGATCTCAAAGTTCTACTCACGGAGCAAGCCGAGGTCAAAGTTAAAGACCACCCCAAAAATTATTATATTTCTACATTATTATTATTATTTTGCAAATTGTCCTTGGACCACGCCCATTAGCACTTCAATGTTCCCAACTTAACAAGCCCAACTAGATAACACAGCGTGATATTCATTACAGACATACCAAATTAACGTAAAATTTTCTTGTGGCACTCGATTTTGTGCCACATATTGAATTTGTACCCACTTTTTTAAAAATTTTAAATAAAACCCAATTTTTGATAACTTCAAGTACATACATTTTTCTCTTCTTCTTTACTATTGTTATCTTCTTTTTTGTGCTTAAAGTTTCTTCTTCTTCTTAGTTGCAAAATGGGTTTGCTAAATGTTTTGACAAGTTGATGATTGAGATTTGTTCTTTATGATATTTGAAAGTTAAGTGTTAAATTTAAGCTCATTTGGAGTAGATTTTAGGCATTGCATCGTGTATGAATTGTTGAAATTCGAATAACAAGTTTATGTTACAGAACTTAAGATTCAAAATCTGAATTTGTCTTCAATAGATTGAACTACTTAAGCTTAAATTTCTGAAGTTGCATTTAAAAGATAGAAGAACTTCATATTTGATTTCTAAAGTTGCATTGAAGAGATTCAACTAATTCAGATCCGAGCAGGTACATTTTGTAAAATTTTGTGCAATACGGTATAACTTCAATGATAACTCCAAAAGTGGGTATATATAAAATACCCCAAATGTAACACTATGATTAACATATCGTCAAGCTAAGCTGACTGCGCTGCTCACGTCTAAGATTGCTTTCGATCTGTAATTGTTCATGTTAAGTGATATATAGGGGCGGGTTAATGGATCTTGTGGCCTAAGCAGGGACGACTCATTGGATCTCGTGATCTAAAGCGAAATCATATTGAGAGGCCTTTAAATGTATTTTATACAATATTTACACTAATAACAAAATTTATTTTCTAAACAATAAATTAATTATTTAAGACAAAAATAAGCAAATTTTTTTAAAAAAAAAAAGGAAGAAGAGCACAAAAAATAAAGTGGTGGACTATCGGATGTTGAGGTCCATAAATTTTGATTTGGCTATCATCACAAACAAGAAAAAGAAATAAACGTACATAATATAATAGCTTGAGTTTTGAGCATTAATGGTGTCAAAAATATTTACTCCTTATGATCAATATAAACGATAATTGTAGTTCATTCTATTAAGTAGCACTTATTGGTGAATATCTAAAATAAATTATAAATAACCTAATACTCCCTCAATTTCAAATTAGATGTGATACTTTCCTTTTTAGTTTGTTCAAAAATAAATGACACATTTTTAAATTTGGAAATAATTCAACTTTAGACTCTTCATTTTACCTATTTTACCCTTAATGAGAAGCTTTTATAACCACACAAATGTCATGATCCCACAAAACTTTTACCCCTCAAACTTTTAAGACCACAAGTTTCAAAAGTCTTCTTTTTTTCTTAACTCCGTGCCGAATCAAACTACCTCATCTAAATTGAAACAGAGGGAGTATAATATGTCGAATTACACTAAAAGAAAATCGGTGCATGAATGCTTTTGTGTTCATGCAGTTTGAGAGAACATTGTAAAAAAAAATTCATTATGTATATACAACTTAATTCCTATATAAATAAAAAGGATAAAATTAAAATTGAAGACCGAAGCAAATATACTAATTAATCAGTAAAGAAAACTATCATAATTTATGAATATTGATATAAAATAACCTCAATCAAATAACAAAAAAATATATTGTAACACTTTTCTTTGTACTAATTATTTATATAATATATAGTAATAATAAGAATTTAAATCAAATTTTGGGGGCGTAAGGCGACGGCCTCACTGCCCAAGCCTTTAGAGATGCCCCTGGGCCTAAGACGAAACCATATTGAGAGGCCCTTAAATTTATTTTATAAACTATTTACATTAACAACTAATTTTACTTTCTAAATAATAAATTAATTATTTAATACAAAAATAATCAAATTTATAAATAAAATAAAAAAAAGGAAGAAGAAGAACACAAAAAATAAAGTGGTGGACTATCGGATGTTGAGATCCACAAATTTTGATTTGGCTATCGTCACAAACAAGAAAAGGAAATAAACGTACATAATATAATAGCTTAAGTTTTTAACATTAATGGTGTCAAAAATATTTACTCCTTATGAATAATATAAACGATAATTGCAGTTCATTCTATTAAGTATCCTTATCGGTGAATATCTAAAATAAATTATAAATAACATAATATAATATGTCTAATT